ATCATTTTCCAGACGGGAAGCCTTCAGTAAGCAATCCAATACCGTCTTTTTTTTACTCCTTTTGAGCATTCAAATACTAAGTCACCCTAAAGGCGGCGATTATCAACATCGGTTGATAATAGTGATATCATCACTGCAAGTGACGAATTGATGAAAAGTGGAGACGATTCCCCAGGGTTAAAACTGTGCACAGCCTCTGATTTTCGGCTCTATACTGGCATGCAAGATAGAGATGTTTTCAGAACCTTATTTGAGTACTTACTCCCACCATAAATCCTAAAAAAACAATATTCTAATTTCTCAACCGAAAGAAGTGCTTTTTAAAATGCCATTCTCGCACCATGGCGCCACGAGGTCACCCTTCAAACAACATATCAATCTTCCCATAAAACGCAGTGATAAAAAGGTACTTCGCCAAAAGTTCGGCACTTACTTTTAGTAACGCCTTATCTATGTTCCCACTAGATTTGGAGACGAAAATAAGCGATTTTCCCTTTACAAAGTTACGATATTGAGCGAAGGTACCGACACGCGTCGAATAATTACAAAAGAATATATTGCTTGTTGCTAAGCAACGAGGTTTTGTTCGACCCCCAAACAATATGGCCGCAAAAACCGGGGAAGGGTCTATCTTGCCACATTTTGAACATGAATCAACTATTATAAGGATTCAAGCAGACTAAACAGTTGGATTGAAATAAGTACACATGAACCATATTATTCTTGAACTTTAACTGTAAGACATACAATAATAGGTCAAATATGACATACCAAATCCTCAGTAAAAGGGGTCACTAACTTGAGGTTTCATGTACTGGAGTTACTTTTTTTGTGACCAAGAGGTTCTGAGCTTGTAAGTGCTGCTCTTGACGCTCTGAACTACTGAGTTAAACTAACTAATTGTACTTCTTTTATAAGGAATCGAACTATAGCAGGAAATTCTCGAAAATTTTGGAAGTTAGGTGTGATTATTCTAAAAGGAAATTTATGATGCAAATCCTGTGTGTATGATAATTTGGTTATCATAGGAAATAGTTTCTGAAAATGTAATTCTCAAATTATAACAAAAATATTGCAATGTCCTGCACGATTGTGAGCCTGGTCACATTTATATTTTCTCTTTTCCTGACGGACCCGTTCTTTACACTGATTTGCAATTCATTCACGTTAGAGCACATGGTAGAGTTGTGATAAAAGAAAAAAGCTTCAGTACAGTCAAGGCGGCGTTTATCTTCATAACCGGATTTTTCTGAATATTCCCTGAAAAGCAGAGGATAGCGTTGTATGTATAGTAGCGACAACATATATGTAATTTGTTCATTTCGGTGCATTATGAGTTTAGCGGAAAAAGTCGCGCACGACAGGTGGGTTGATTTAAATGAGTTCACTTCATGAAACCTGTAGGGAATACCAATTTCGCTGGATCCATTCAGCTTAGATATTCAATTAAGTGTTTGATAGGATAAACAAATATACACGGTTTTGTGTTGTACATTAAACCGCTTTGAAAACCATTGTCGAGGACGACGAAAGGCAGAAAATAGTTACCAGAATTCTTGTTAACACAATCATCTTCTATTTCCCTATTCGATTCTGTTGAACGGCTAAAAACTTTGATAGTGAGCAGGTGTTGTTGGGTCAAAATGAACCGAGGGGACAGCTTCCTGTCTTTTCGTCCGTCATGCACGTGTGCGTAAAAGATAATGCAATTTTCAAATTAAGGAAGGTTCCAGCTCTTTAAGAGGCCGTGACTGTAAATATCGAGAATTGTTGGCCAGGCTGAAAAAAATCGAAAATTCTGACAATTTGCCTGGAAAACCCCTTTAGGTAGATATATTAAAAAAAAAAAAAAAATTTCAAAGTTTGAAATATCAAATGTGTCCGAGGAAATGGGGATAAACGAAAATTCGGGTTTTTATCTAATTATTATGCAAAAACATACAGTAAAATTGAGCAACTTTAGCGTGCTAGTACTAAAGGAGGATGTTTGGTAAGAAATCGGGGGAGTTTTTACTTCAAAGTATAA